AGGTGGGAGGGTCCTGAAAGGTAAGCAGTTCCTTCACATCTGGAACCTAAGACACAGTAGCATCACCTGCCAGGGCCCAGAGGTGCCGGCACTGTGACTCCTCCAGATGCCTCAGCTCTTTGTGGGCCCTCAGAAGGAGGGGACTGTACAGACAAGTGTGATCCAGATGTGGGGAGAGAATGTGCATCCTCCCACGGGGTAGTTCTGTGCAGGCGAGAAGGCAGGCGGCTCCCAGGATGAACATGTGCCAGGACCCTCAGCCCCTGAGGATGGGCCAGGGCTCACAGCCCCGCCACAGCCCAGCTGCAGCACCCAGCTGTGCCCTCACAGCACATGGGACATGTCAGTCAGAAACAACAGCAAAGTAATGCTCGCAAACTCCCAGTGAGAACCAAGTGGAGCAACTGCAGGCCTAACGAGAAACGTTCTATCCTTCCAAACAAAATCAAAACACACAAATCAGAGAGCCCAACAAACACCCAAACTCTACATCAAGGCAGATCACATGCTGGCTGCTCAAGCAACTCTAGTTTCTTGCAACAGACCTGGAAAATACAAAAACTATCAGAATTCTAAGCAACTTGTACTTTTCACTTTGTAGACTTCTCTGCAGCACGCGCTACTTTTACGTTTTTGCTATAGCTTTAGGTTACTTAACATATCCTCCACTAAATGTAAAGAGAAAACAACGGCACCGCAGAAAATGCCTGAACAAGCCCCAGGTCCAGGTTAGCCAACTGGCAACGGGGACTCACCCGGCACAGGCTCCCGACTAGACTCAGCCTTCGTTTCGGTACTGAGGGTAAGGCTGACCCTTCTGTTGCTGGACTGTACTATTGTTTAATTGTCAGGGTCTTCGTCTTGTCTCCCCTAATGCTGAAAGTAGTGCATTGATTTCTATCCTTCATAGCCCACAAAGCACAGACTCAGAGGGTCAATAACTACTGATTCACTGACTGCCTCATGGAAGCCAATTCATCTGTTATTAAGATGTGTACAAACATCAGTTTCCACAAATCAAATTCTATTTAAAATGCCAGAGGAAAGTATATGACCTAATGGAGGCCACTTTTTAAAAATTCATTTTGTAATTACAAAAATAATTATTTTGTAACAGAAACAAATCATACGTAAGTACAATGAGAGGAAAGTATAGGTTCCCTCTTCCTCTTCCCTCTCCTCCCCCAACACACACTCCCACTGCACACTTACACACACACTCACGTGTACACAAGCCCCACCCTTTGCTAACTATGGAGTGCTGCTTTCAGTCGGGGCTATGTCCCTAGAGCCTGGGGCAGCATCTGGCACCCAGGTCCACACAGGAGGCTCCATGATGATCTGCTGAATACCAGGTGTGTGTCCTTCCAGACGGGCTTCCGTGCTAAGCGCCCGCATTGCTGCATGGAAAGTGCACATTCTTTATAGTCTACACTAAGGAACGATGTTTCTACCTAATGCATTGGCACATTTTTTAAAGTAAACTTTTCAATGGTGTCATCATGAAGTAAAAGATCCAATGGCATGTTTTAAGAGGGGAATTGGAGATCTCTGATCATTATTAACTTTTTATGATGAAGAATTTTGAAAGTGCATGGAAGTAACCAGAACAGAACACAGAATCTAGGTACTCTCATCCAGACCCCCAACTGTCCACTCAGACAATCCCATCCCTCCTCATCCCCTCTGCTTCCCCACCCCACACTAATCTGAGGCAGATCCCAAACATCATTTCATCTACCAACACTCAGTATCTATGGCTAAAGGGTAACGATTATTCTAACATAACCACAACGCTGTAATTAAGGAATTTCTTAAAATTGTCATTCACCACAAAAGTCCATGAGACACATCAATAGCCTCACTTTCAAAGGAGTGATTCTTGGATCAAGTGCTGAGCCAAGTGAGAGCTCTGGGTCAGGCTTTGATCAAAGCCAGAAATCTCGGGGTGCCACTTAGACGCAATCCAGGATACGGATGCAGTCATTGCTTTCATGGGCAGCAGCTGAAACTTCTGGACCAAATAACAAGACACTGCCTGCACCCCACCCCCTCCACCCCCCCGCCCTGCTGAGGCTTGCACAGGTGTTGTGGGAAGGTGGTTTTGGGGTTCTGCACCCTCGGACTGTTGTTCATTCCCCAGGGATAACCACAGCAAGGCAGTAGAAAGCTGGGGCCCCTGCCGTGACACCCCCAGGCAAATGCAAATTCACTCAGGGAGAGTCACAAAAGCTGGAAAGTGAGCCACAAGCAGCAAAGCAATTTGCTTATCCCAAGGATCACCTTAATTAGTGTGCCGAAAACACCACCCAGCTTTCAGGGAAGGCCCTGGCGCACCTTCTCCACCTGACTGAATCAGCAGATAGCTCCTCCTAATAAATCTCTGCTTTCCCTTGTCATCTCTCGACAGCAAAGTCCCCAGTAAACCTCTCCCTGTTGTGTGCAGGGGAGCCTGCTCTACAAGCGCAGCTCTTGGGTGACACCCTTAGACATCCAGGACAGCCCTAGACCTTGGATGGCAATGGTCATGGTGATGGGGATGCCATAGGCAGGGCTGGATGCTGCATCTGCCAAGCCCAGGGCGGACCCTGGCCCAGGGAAGAGAGGACCCACCCCAGGTGCCTCTGTCTCTTCCCTTCTCAGCTGTGAGTCTTCTTCCTGGAATTGTCCAAGTTCAGGGAAGAAATCATTGCCTTGGTTGGGAACAACAGACAGCAGCCTTTCTCTCAGCAACTAAGCTCGATGGTCGGCCAATGGCATGTTTATTTCTATATTTTCACACAGCAAGTTTTACCTCCATGGGTCCTCCCCCGAGCTCTGGCTCTAAGGGGTCAGGAGGAGAATCTGCAACCACTCTCCTAGACCCACCCACTGCTCCCTCCCCACCAGAAATGGAACCAAGAGAGGCAGAGGCTTGCACAGGCTCAATCCAGAAGCACAGAAGATACAGAAAACCATTGATCTTTGCAATGCATTATTGATTTTGCTGCTGTGCTGGCAGCATCGCCCGGTCCCTCCCCGCTCAAAGCCAGCTATTAGCATGCGCTCCCAAGCTTTGGCCTAGACACACTGCTTGGTGTGGGGAAGGCAGCTCTAGAGAGCAACTGCCTCCAGCGGTCCACACGGGGAGGACTGTCCACAAGTGGATGATGTCACCAAGGACACCTCCCTGGCCCCAGATCCACTGGACAGCTAGTGCAACATGGTCACTGGTCTTGCATTCCACACTTCAGACCAGGACAGGCCATTGCCCAGGACCCCGGGTGCTCAGGGAAGGGTCTGTGCAAGGCTGCATTTTCAGCAGACTCTGGGTGTGCCTGTCAGGAGGTGGGTCCCCTCCCTTTCACTGTGCTGCAAGAGCTTGGGCCGGCATGGCAGCTAGGGTTCTGCCTCCCCATGATGGCCTTTGCCTATCTGCACTCTGAAATACAGCCACTGAGTTCCTCTGTCTACCAACTCCTAAGAGCCCACCCTCCTGGGACTGCAGGGCTGCTCCTGGCACTGGTGATGTGTTTTCACTGCTTTGTTTGACTTACTGAGTGTACCAGGTACAATTTTCTCAGTCTGAAGGTCTGGCCTTCTGGGAGGGCAGTCTGCTCACAGAAACAGGCCAGTGCGTCCCTCACCCTCCCACCCCAGCTTTCCTAGTGGGTATGCAGAGCCTGCAAGCTTTCTTCTTCCGGCTGACGACTACCAAGACATGATATATACAGACACCAACTGCCAAAACGACAATCAGGGCATTATCATCTCTACCAGAATCCTGCCCCTGCACTGGCCAGAGCTGCCTGTTTCTGGGGGCACAGTAAACATTCCCAAATAACCTCTCTTGGGCAGCCAGCAGGCAGGCCCCAGGCCTAGGACACATAGGAGGTGACAGGCCGCCGGTGTCACTTCACCCCCAGGAAAGAAAACTTCCATTCAGTGGCGCCTGGCGAATTTGTAAAGGCTCAGAACAGCAGGGTGAGATGCTTGGCCCCAGGCCCCACGTCCAGCTTGGCCTCTGAGGACCTGGCCACCCACGAGCCTGGGATGTGCTCAACAGAGTGAGGTTTTCAAAACAAAAGCAAAGCAACTTCACATGGCAAACGTTCCAGAAAGCAGGACCCAGCCCTCAACACCAGGCCTCATTTGAGGCAAGCTGCCCACATACAGAGTCCCATTCACCCACCCACCCCCACCTGCCCCCCAAAATACTAAGCCAGATAAATAAAGAGGACAACCACGAGCTCAACCCTCCTTTACATGTTTTTACTGGCATACCCCCAGTGGAGCCAGCCCCTTGCAGCTCACCAGGCGGCTGCAACAGGTGCAGCCCAGGCTAAGGCTTGTGGTTCTCCTGGGCTGTTCTAGAATAATGCAGCCAAAACCCTAAAGGAAACCGAGGCCTGCAGAGCACTCCTTCCCAGGCGGCGACCAGACCACGCAGCCCGACCTGCCCCACCTGTCTGAGTGCGCGGCGCCGAGTCCGGTACACCGAGGCCGCGGCCTCCGCGACCAAAATAGAAGCCTGCAGGGGCCCGGCCGGAGTCCGGGCTGGCCAGAGCGGGGCCTGACCTGGCGGGGCCGGACTGGGCACGCCGGGCACGGCGGGCCCTGGCCGAGCGCGCCGCCCCCTCCCTGGCCAGGGTCTGCAGCGCGCCCCCGCTCCCCCGCGCCCAGAGGAGCCACCTGCGCGCAGCAAACTGGGGAGGCGCCCAGGAACGGGAGAAGGCCGGGGAGGGATCGCAGAGGGGTCCAGGGGGTTGAAGGGGTCCAGGGAGGGCTCAGGGTAGGTGTCTCCGGGAGACGACCCGGGAGGGGTCCGGGGGGATCCAGGAAGGAGTCCAAGGATCCGGGGAGTCCCGGAAAGGGGCTCCTGCAGGGGTTCAGGGAGGGCTCCGAGGGTCCGGGGAGGAGGCTAGGGGCGTTGAGTGGGGGCTCCGCGGAGTGTCCAGGCCGTCCCCAGCGCACCTGCCGGGCCCCGCGCGCCCTCCCTCCAGCACAGCCCGGCCGCTTACCTGGAGCGCGCGTCCTGACCGCGGCTGCTCCCGGCCGGGCGAGCTAGGGCGCCAGGAATGGCGGCGGCGGAGGCGGCGGCGGGAGGCGGCCAGGCCGGGGAGGGGGCGGCGAGGAGGCCCGGCGGCAGCGTTGGTGGCGGAGATGCTGCGGCGCGCGAGGGCGCGGAGGCCGGCGCGGGAACCGAGGGCGCGCAGGCCCCTCCTCCGCTCCCCTCCCTTCCCCCCTCCTCCCTTTTCTCTTCCCTTCCCCTCCCCCTTCCCTTCCCTCCCCTGGCCCCGCCCCTTTCTTCCTCCTCCCTCCTCCTCCTCCGCGCCCCTGCTCACCTCCCTCCTTCCCCTCCCCCAACCTCTTTTTCCTTCCTTCTCTTTTTCCTCCTCTTTCTTCACCTTGGCTACACTCTTCCACGTCCCTCCCCCTCTCCCCACTTTCTTTCCCCACTCCTTCCTCAGCTCCCATCTCTCTTGCCTCCCCCCAGGCCCAGAGGGATGTCCCTCAGCCTTGCCTTGGTCTCTGCTGAGTCAAGCACCCGTTCCCAGGACCAGGAGGTACCCTCTCACCCTTTTCCCCACCGGCTCTTAATAGACAAGCTTGCCGCTTCTGGGGTCCTGGATGAACCCCACCCTTTCCAGGTCTCCCACAAATACCCAAGGTTTTCTTCACTCCCAGACCCTGGGCCAGCTCTGCTGAGAATCTGACCTGTAGAGGCACGTGGCACCCAGAACATTGGGCTGCTGACTTTGGGCAAGAATATTTCACACCGGGATGCTTCCATTCCCCAGGGGGAGGGGCTGGCGCTGCCTGGAGTCTTGCTTTCCCTGCACCCCGGTGCAAGCCTTTTGCTAAATGTTCATCATTTTCCACTCTAGATGGCAAATGGTCCTCCTGTGCGGCTGCTGGTGAGACACGTTTGTGACTAGCCCATCGGTTTGGGGATCTGGGGACCCTCAGAGATGGTGCTGCTCCTTCCAGACCGCCTCCCTCTGCCCCCAGGAGAGGTGACAGGCTCAAACAGTGATGGGCCAGGCTGACAGGCCTATTGAGAAACACAGTCCTGAGAAGGGGACACAGTTCCCAATGGAACCAGCCAGGATGTCCCCTGAATGTGAGGAGTTGGGGAGCCCTCTCCAGGCGAGGTGATTCGTCCCTGGACTACAGACTGCTTTTGAGGGGCAGGGGCTCTGACTCTGAGGCTGTTTTCCTGCTGAGCACTGGCTCTGAGAGCCAGAGTTTACAAAGGAAGCCAGTCCCAGGCCCAGCAATCACAGAGTTCCCTTCAGGGGCCTCCTGAGGTTCCTGTGGTTTACTGCCCGGGCTCTGAGAATAGGGCTTGGGTGCAGCAAAGGCTAAGATGACAAAGCTGGTGTCAAGCAGGGTGGGGTGGAGCACACGCCCCTCCTCCCTCTGCTGCGTGGCAGCCACTACCCTCCTTCTAAAGAGTGGGGACCTGGAATCTGATAGACTCTCTTGACTCACAGCTCTGTAGTTTCCAGGGTAACCTTGGGCCTCATCCCTCCATATCCCGAAATGTGAGGACAGCATGGTCTTCCTGGAGGGTTTGGGGAGCATGGAGAGAGAGAATGGCAGCTAAAGCCTGCAGCACTGTGTGCTCAGGTTTAGTGCAGGTGACGGTTACAGGAAAAAACTAGAGGAGATGCTTTTTCCAAGCTCTTTTCCAAATGGAGGGGTCCGCAAATCCATGTTCCACATCCCATTTGGATTGAAACATAACGGGAACAGATTAGAACAGAACTGGTTTGACAGCATTCTATGCCCAAGGAGGGATGCACACTTGGGATCTATACATGCTAGCATTGCCCAGATGGGGGGGACTCTCCTCTATTCCTCACTAGTCAGACACATCTGACTGGTGCCCTTGCCTGGTGTCTAAGGCAGGCACCAGTAGCCTGTAGGAGGGGAGTTGACGCACTGGTAGTCTTCAGCCTAGAAAATCAATGTGTGGAGCACAAGTCAGCAGAACCCCAATGTCTGCAAAACTGTCCAGGGAGGAGGGATTATTCTGTGGTGTTATGAAGGGCAGAATGAGGACGGATGGGTGGAAATTAGATGAGAAAGTGCATTTCTGCCCACCATGGACGCTTTCTGACGGACCTCCCTGCAGAGGAGCCGGCTGTCCCTACAGGAGCATGCCCTTCAGGGCCAGCGTCTAGACAGGCCTGGGGCCACCTTGGGAACACCTTGCAGGGAGGGGATCAAGAGAGGTGTGCTTCTCAACAACTGCTGAAGCCTCTCCTGGGTTTTAGACCCACATGCTCAGAAGCTGATAGAGGGCAGCCCAGGGCAAAGAAGAAACTTGGCATGGCTGTCCTGGAGCCCACACTTCTGGCGTCGTGACCTTCCAGAATCCTGTCGTCTCTAGCCTGTTTCCTAATGCGTACAGAAGGTTGTGAGAGAATTCAGTAGAAACTCCGAAAAGCTTTCTACAGTGCCCAGGCTACAAACCCAAGGGCTTCTTGGCGCAATGCTTGTATAAAATTGCCCTCAAACACGTTTATTGCATTAATGAAGGAAACGGCACTCTTGGTTGTGAACGTTAGAACTTCAGCTTGTACTGTTGGCTCACTTGCATCTAAAGGTGCTATGGGTACCATTAGAACGAGGGACTTGGATGCCATCATTAGGTCTTCCTCTTCCCTCCTCCCTCTGACCCTCTTCCCTGTTCCCTTCTCTCAACATGATTGTTCATGTCTCCCAAAGTGACCAAGATTGCCTTTTTACTGTTTGGTTTTTTTTACACTTTCTCATAGATAAGCTTGCCCCTTGGGGGCTCCGTGGAGGGTGCAGGCCACCCCCAGCGCACCTGCCTGGCCCCATGCGCCCTCCCCCCCATGAAAGCCTGGCCGCTTACTGGGCTTACTTTTATATGTATGTTTGAACACTTCAAACATACATATAAAAGTAGCAGGCCGGGCACGGTGGCTCACACCTGTAATCCCAGCACTTTGGGAGGCAAGATGGGCAGATCACCTGAGGTCAGAAGTTTGAGACCAGCCTCGCCAACATAGCAAAACATCGTGTTTTTTTTTTCACTACTGTAAATACAAAATTAGCTGGGCCTGGTGGTGCGCGCCTGTAATCCTGCTATTCAGGAGATTCAGGCAGGAGAATTGCTTTAACCTGGGAGGCGGAGGTTGCAGTGAGCGGAGGTGGCACCACTGCACTCCAGCTTGTGCGGCAGAGAGAAACTCCGTCTCAAAAAATAAAAATAAAAGTAGCTAAATGAACTCCAATCTTGCCTTACCTCTGACCCCCTTACTTCCCCCCATATTAATTTCAAGCATATCAAAGATCATGTTAACCAATCTATTTTCTAGTTTCCTCAGAAACACCCAGTGTGTGGATATGAGGCCATGCATTGGAAAGTTTCTCTGCATTTATTTCCCAGCCAGAATGTTGACACCATCTACATGCAGATCAGCATGGTAACTGGATAGATAATAGTTAAGTCCCATATGAGAAAGAAAGTCAAGTATGGCAGCACAAATAATACTCAGCTCCCAACACAGCCAGGTGGGTATAAGTAGAGGCTTCTCTGCTTCTGCTTCTCAATGTGGTGGTGGTGGGGTGGGAACAGGCACGTAGTAGGCTGAGAGTCATTTCCAGATCGCCCAGGGTGGAGCCTTAGGCAGTGCAGGAGATGTCTTCAGAAGGAGCAGGTCTGCCGCCTCTCACCTGTAGTGGTGGGTGGAGTGTCTAGGCTGAGCCTAGAGAGTCAGCACAGCAAGTGGAGAAATGGGGTCCTCTGAGGGGCTGTGGGAAGGTTGGGTCTAGGACCTGCCAGCAGCTTCCGGAAAAGTCTTGAGATGTCCTTTGAATGTGACCATACTCTGCCGAGATGTGGGTGGGCGGCACCTCCACTGTTACCATGCAGTGGCCTCTGCGACCATGCTGTGACCCCTACCCCATCTCTGTCCCTTCCCCCACCCCAGAAATTTGCTGTTAAGATTGTGGCCTTCCTGGCCAGCCTTTCCAAAATAGAGAGTCCACACCAGTCTCTGTCAGGCCCCCTGGTTGTTAGAACGTGTCCTCCAGCTGGAAGAAGGAAGCTGAAAGGGATTTTGAAGGCTCTGGGACGCCCAGGTGCCTCCAATGAGTGCTAAGCAAACAGAAACAACATCTGCCCAGGTGTGTTCAAGCCAGAGGGCAAATGAGCAATCACAGAGTGTTTATTTGGATACACGATTCCCTGCTATGATAAAAATCCAATGGTTTGATCAAGACAGAAGTTTATTTGCTTCTTTCTTTTTTTTTAAGACGAAGTCTAGCTCTGTCACCAGGCTGGAGTTCAGTGGCACAATCTCGGCTCACTGCAACCTCCACTTCCCGGGTTTAAGTGATTCTCCTGCCTCAGCCTCCAGAGTAGCTGGCATTACAGGCACATGCCGCTACACCAGCTAATTTTTGTATTTTTTTTAGTAGAGACAGGGTTTCACCATGTTGGCCAGGATGGTCTTGATCTCCTGACCTCGTGATCCACCCACCTTGGCCTCCCAAAGTGTTGGGATTACAGGTGTGAGCCACTGCGCCCGGCCCACTTCTGACATAACATTATCAGAGGTAGATGTGTGGACCAGGACTGGTGGGCAGCTTTGCTGTTACCCATTTGGATGTTACCATTCATCCAGCTGGAAAGATGAAGAGTATGATCAGTAGATTTCAGTGCAATACCAGGAAGTAGCACACATCACTTCTATCACATACCATTGATCAGAACTTAGGCCGGGGCCCACATGTAGTAGCTACAAGGGGGAGTTGGAAATATAGCTGCTAGCTGAGTGACTATGTAACCAGCTAAAAGTCTATAATTAATATATTAAGGTCTGGAAAAATGGGTATTCATGAGCAACTAGGAGACTGCCATACTCATTGTAGTGTAATTGTTGCTATTATAAATTTAAGTGGAAAATTGCTCACCTACTAGAATGTCTAAAATTGAAAATAGCAAGTGTTGGCAAGGATGTGGAGTGGCTAGAATTCTCATTCATCTTCACTGGGAGTGTAAAATAGTATGGCCACTTTGGAAAATGCGGAGCAGTACTACTAAAACTAAATACTCATATGCCCTGTAACCCAGCAATTCCCCTTCTGGAAAGAGTACACAAAATTAAGTGCATATGTTTACCAGAACACATATA